TCCCTTCAGATTGCACAGCAGCTCCCACAGTGGCTGAAATTTATCAGACGACAGAGCCGGGCTGCACAGCCGTTTGGTTCATTTTTAGCAGCCTCATCCTCCGGCTCTTTTAAATTAGTCGCGAGGCTAATTTCAGGGACTTGTTTGGTGCACGGGTAACACTTCCTCCAGAAACGCGGGCACAGTGCTATGCATCTGAAAACCCCCGGTGACGGAGGGGACACATCTCGGCCCAGCCAGCCACGCCGTGGGGGGGCTCCACGGCCTCCCAGGCTGTCCTGCCCAGCCTCGAGGTGGTCTGGGGACATGATCGGGGTGGGGGGTGGCCTCTCCTCTGCCAGCCCCCTCGTTCAAGCAGTAGCTGCTAAGCCTTCGTCACAAAGGGCCCTGGCGTCAGCTCCTGGCCCTGTGCCCGCTCCAGCTGCCCTACTGCGGGTCTCATCTGCCTTCACCCGCATCAGTGCCTCTCAGGCTTCAGCCTGCACCAGGACCCCCCGCGGCGCTTGCTGAGACAGTTTCCGAGTCAGTAGGAAAGTGCGTTTCTCCCAAGTTCCCGGGGGGTGCTCGTGCTTCGGACCCGAGGCCCGTGCTTTCAGAACCACTGACCTAGACTTTTCCAGTAGCTTCTTGCTTTCATCCGCTCTGCCCCTCTCCACTCGAGTGCACAGCGCAGGTGGATCTGTTCACCTTTACCGTGCTTCTCCTCTTGTCCTTCCTCCCCTCAGCATCCATTGCCAAGTCCAAGCACCCTTCTCTGACAGCCGGGATTCCGGAAGTCCTAGACGCGTGCTGGCTGCCTACTCATACCCCCCTACCTGTTCCCCTTCACACACTATTGAAATCATTGTTGATCTGTACATTGTGACTTCCCCCACTGGGCCATGTGCCCCGGGGAGGTAGGGCCTGTGTCTAATGTGCACCTGTTATCAAGGTTCCCGGGACACACAGCTACTCAGGAAGCATCTGATGAATGGAAGAACGATGGACGGCATGCCTACCCAGAGATGGAAATTAGTTCTCTTGAAAAAAAAAAAAAAATCCAAGCAGCTTCTCCAAAACAAGAAATCGACCTTGCTCTGTCTTCCTCCCTGCTTTGTTAATGTCTGGAAATATGAACAGGCTTATACACAGGGAGAAAGGTGCCCGGTTTGATTTCAATCAAAGAAGCACAAGGACTAGCAAGCCAAATTGGGGGGGGTGGGTAGTGAGACAGTCCCAAGTGTAAATCCTGATGCCACACTGATCGGCTAAGTATTCAGCCCAGCGGGGCCTCACGTTTCCAGTCTGTAAAGTGGGAATATTCTCTACGTACCTCACAGGATTGTTAGAAACAAGTGAGGCGGCACAGGCTGCCTGGCATGACGCACTGTGGGTCCCCAGTAAAGGGGAGTGGTTTTTAACAGTTAGCTTTCCATGCAAAATAGAGCTGAGTGGCTGTTCACAGGAGAATTCCATTTTATTTGAAAGGTGATAACAGATACAGCATCCCAGGATTCTTCCTCCTCTAATGAATCAAGGATACACCAAATTCAATCTTTAAAAAATGATCTCGAAGGGCTAATTAGCTTGATTTATATTTTCTGTACCACTCACTTTTATTTCACGAGCCCGACGTTTTCCATTAAAACGCTATTAAGAACAGAAAGGATTTCACGGTATTTGTGACGGCTTGGATCGCCACGTGGTAACTGCAGCCGTCCCCAGCACAGATACCACTTCTCGTGGCTTCATTTCCTCTTGTGCATCAGCTAATGTTTCGTGCCTCTTCCAGTTGAGTAAGTCCACTTCCCCCTGAACTTACGGCCCCGAAAATGCGCCCTGTGGCTTTGGCGCCCTTTGGTTGTGAGGCTATTCGTGGGGGTTCAGGAAGGGCAGGGCGGGGAATGGGAGTCACCTGATAAGTGCAGCTGTGAAGAGAGGTCGCGTGGGCAAGAACACAGGTGCATTCTGTGTGGCTCTCGGGCAGGAGGCAGAGCAGGAGGCTGGCCCTGGGAGCAGACTTCCCCTGACCTGCCATGGGGGTCTCGGAGGTGATGGGGTCCCCAGGCCACCACCTTGGAAAATGTGCTGATTAAATGATCCATTGGGGCTGCTGTCCCTCCCAACATGGGTTTATATTTCTTCTCTAAAATGATGTCATTATGAAAACATTCTGGAACCCGATGGAGGTGATGGGTACCCAACACTGAGAAAGCACTACATGCGACGTGAAAGGATTAAAATGGTGTACTTTGTGTTTTAGAAAAATGGCCTTGGAGCCAGTGGCACCATGATGCAGTAGGTTAATCCTCCGCCTGCAGTGCCAGCATCCCATATGGACACCGGGTCTAGTCCCAGCTGCTCCTCTTCCAATCCAGCTCTCTGCTATGGCCTGGGAAAGTAGTGGAAGATGTTCCAAGTCCTTGGGCCCCTGCACCTGAATGGGAGACTGGGAGGAGGCTCCTGGCTCCTGGCTCCTGGCTTCGGATGGGTGCAGCTCCGGCCATTGTGGCCATTTGGGGAGTGAACCAACAGAAGGAAGATATTCTCTCTCTCTCTACCTCTCAAATAAATAAATTTTAAAAATCTTTTAAAAAATGGCCTCATTGGACAGAAGGAGCTCCAGGGCCACCCCTGGCTTCAATGTTCTGAGCTCCTGATGAGTGTGCTGTGCAGGGCCCCGCTCGCTGGGCTGCGTTTAGGCAAATGCCAGACCCTGTAGATGCCAGATACTTGACGGAAGAGGAAGGGTTAATTACACCAGCGCTTAGGCTGAATGTGGACGTGTAGTGGCCCGCACACGAGAGAATGCTTGCAGAAAGAAACAGCAGTGCAGGAAGAAGACACTCGTGTTGGGACAGAAAGCACCAGAAGAGGGGTTTCAGCTCCACGTGATGCGATCCTAACTTTATAACAGCAGATGAGACTCAGCGGTAAGAGCCTCTACCTCCAAGATTACAGATGATTCCGCTCCTTCTACATTTCTCAGAAGGTCTATGAAGAGTATGCATTACTATTATGCTCTAAAAAACAAATACTTCTAACTAAGAATCAGTGACAACACTGAGGATTTCGTAACCCCCAGGGCGAATGGTGGTGAGTCGCAGTAAGATTCCCAGAGCCCTGGGTGGGAACTGATTGATTAGGATTCCCATTTCATCCGAGTGAGCCTCCGTCTCCCCGCCGGGAGCAGGGGTCTGGCCCCGGTGGGCCTCCCCGGCAGCGCACATCTGGGGGCGGGCTCTGTTGCCTGGAGAGCCCTGCGGCGACGGCACATTTCCAAGTCTCCCCTCTGATGAAAACTTCCCGAGTGCTCCTACAGTCGCTGATGGCCACTTCTCCGTCGCTGAAGAGCTAATTTCCACGCAGAGTGTCGCTTCCTCTCGTTCTGCTTCCTGTCACCTTAGCAGGGAATCACTTCACTTCACCCGAGAAGCCACCACCTGACAGTTTACCTGCTGTCTGTCAAGTTCAAGGTGAGGACGACAGATTCCTTGAGCCGAGCAGAATGGGGTCTGTGCCGGCTGGACGAGGGCCCGTTCTTGTCCCCAGATCCCTCCCAGCTGTTGATCCTCAGAAGGGATTTGCCTCTGTGCTGCTCCGGTTCTGTCCTCTCCTGTCCTTGCCTGGCGTCCAGACCCACTGAGCAGGAACTGTGAGCAGGCCTTCCGGAACTTTCCACTCCCACCAGGCGGCTCCCTCTTCCTAGAGACTGGCGTGGAGAGAGGGAGGGCCGTCTGGGCAGGGCTGTCAAGCCTGGTGTTTCTCCACCGAACTGCTTTCCCACGTGAAGGGGCTGGCGTGGCACGAAACATCTTAACCTTGAGATTCTCCCGGAGACTCACAGTGCCGGCTCGACAGATTCAAGAAAACGTTCCCCACACACCCAGTGGGAGCCAGGTCCTGTAGAAAGAAGACTTGGACGAGATGTGGTCTGTGCCTTCCATGAGAGAGGTTGGCATGGGAAACTGCGCGCTGCAGGCGTTGACGAGGGCGATGCGGGGGCCACTCCAGGGGGCACCCACGGGACACTGAAGAGCAGCACCTGTGTCATCTCAGCTGGCTTGCAAAGGGCTACAGCTGTGGGCCGGGGAAAGCAGGTGCACAGACACCGACATGGCCCTACCCAGGGACTGACGGCGAGCTTGTGGGGAGGTGGGAGTGCTGGGCTGTTGAACACAGAGAAGACCATGGCCTTGATGTTGAGTCTGGCACCAGGAGACGTAGTCCTAATTCCTTCTGGATAAGTTACTCAGTTAGGCATTTTGGAATTTTTATTCATTTATTTACTTCTATTCAATTGGAAAAGTGGAGAGAGCTCCCCTCTGCAGGTTCACTCCCCAAATGCACACAACAGTGGGGCTGGGCCAGGCCAAAGCCAGGAGCCAGGAACTCCATCCGCATCTTCCGTGTGGCCAGCAGAGGCCCGATGACTTGAACCATTACCCGATGCTCCTGAGATACACGTTAGCAGAAAGCTGGAATCGAGAGTGCAAACCCAGGTGCTCCGATACAGGTTCCCAGCACCTCAAGTGACGTCTTAGCCACTAGGCAGTATTTACTGACCCTAACATGCTCAGGGCTGCATCTCAGGAGAGGGCTATACCTGGCCCCGCTCTGGGCACCAGAGGAGCTGGGAAATGCAGCTGACCTGAGCGTGCAGAGAGGCGTTGAGTGTGGCAGGTGCCCGTATGGGATGCTGGTGTTGCAGGCAGCGGCTTTACCTCCTGTGCTGCAACACCGGAGTCAGCGTGGATGGATTTATGGATGTAGAATGTTGGAGGCTACAGCCTGGGCAAGGCTCGGCGAGGCCCGGGCAGGGGCCGAGCAGAAGGCAGTTCCGGGTCTAAGGAGGCAGAGGTGGCCACGAAGGAAGGGGAAGGTGTCGGCACGGACCCCGCTTCCTCCAGCGTGGGGGACAGGAAGATGGCAGTGATGCGCGAGGAGACAGGAGCAGAGATGTGGGGTGAGGGGGGCCTGGGGTATGGTCTGGCGCTGGGAAGGGCATTCGGAGCCAGAGGTGGAGATCAGAGAGCTGTTAGCTGCCAACTGTCTTATCTATGAGAAGAATTTCAGAGTAAAATATCGAGACTAAGGAACCACTGGCCTATGCTCGTGTGCTGCCTGGGTTCCTAACAAGAAAACAGCTACACCAGAACACGTGATGGTTCTTATTCTGAGAATCGGGTAGCTGATGCATCTCTGCAAATTGTTCCTTGAGCCATGCCCGTGGCTTCTTGCCAGCCGGCAATGAGATTTTTATATTTCTTAATTATTCAATTACTACCCATAAGTAGGAGTTTGAAATCAAACCCAGACGGCTCCATGACGGAGTGCTCCCTAGAGTCACGGGCACAGGAAAAGTAGTCTCCCACACTGGGAAACCAGGCTGGCAGAAGGGAGGAGGCCAGCGTTGCCAGGCCTGGCTGGGCCACAGGTTCAAGGTCCGGCTTTGCTATGCGTGGGCTGCCGGAGCCCAGCGCCTCCCTGGGGTCAGGTTTCCCGTCTGAGGAATCACAAGCCCGCCTCACCGGGTTGTTGTCTATCTCTGACCTCAAGGACAGCACGCCAAGGCAATGTGCTCTCTCACGAACGCCTTGTGTGCCGCAGGTGCCAGCATCTTCCATTAGCCAGGAGGGAAGAGCCTGGGGACAGCGAGCAGACGGGCGCCCCCGACAGCAACAGCAACCCCGAAGCCCACCTGCCTTCCATCTGCCTCAAGCAGGTGTTCCCCAAGTACGCGAAGCAGTTCAACTACCTGCGCCTGGTGGACAGGATGGCGAACTTGTTCATCCGCTTCCTTGGGATCAAGGGCACGATGAAGCTGGGACCCACCGGCTTCCGGACCTTCATCAGGTCAGTGAGAGCAGCCCCCTCCTGCGGGCCCAGCCCACTGCCGGCCGCTCACCGGAAACCTGAACACCTAGTGGCCGGGGCAGGTCTGGCCGTGGTGACTCCTGTTTAGTGGGTGGACGGGCCAATGTTATGGATGTGACAGCACTCACAACCTCATGTTTGTGGTTTATAAACAGCTCTGTCGGCCTTGAGGGAGAGCCTTAAACCCCCCAGAGTGGGGCGCACCTTGTGCTGTCCCCACAGTCCCTGGCCGTATGCAGAGCGGTCGTGAAACCACAGCGGAGAAGCGCCGACGCATCTTTCCAAAGTGTCAGTTTCAGGAAGGGAAAGTTAAATAATTCAGCCGATAAATAATTTAATGCATTTGTTCTAATACAAAAATAACGTGGCTATGTTATAGAGTATAATACAGAATTTGCATGAATTTTAAAGATAAAACATGCCATAGCAAAGACATTGTATTTTTTGCTGCAGTGTGCACATTTAGAGGCACCACTAGGTTCCCAGAAGTTCCTGCTTAATTTGCCTGTAGCTGTGAAGCCCTAGGGCAGGGCAGTGACCACCGGTGACCGCCCCTGAGCCCCAGGGACTTCACCCCAGGAAGTCGGGATAAAGCCAGGGTTACCTGTGTGGGGAGGGCTAGCTGAGACCACCTGGAAGACATCCATCTGCCCATGGAGCAGTGATTATTAGCAGGTGGGCGCGATGGGGGGTGCGGTGGGGACAGAAGGAGGTTCGGGAAGCATGCCAGGACGCGTGTGACGGGAGGGAAGAGTCCTCGTCGTCTGCAGCACGGCAGGTGTCTGTGGCCCCCAGCAAGCCACCCCCGTATCTCATGCCGACATTAGGCTTTTAGAGGCTCCCGCACGTGAAGCGATGACAAGGAGGGGAGCCCTGAACCCCTCCGATGCGATCAGTGCAGGTGGGATACATTTTTACTGAACAATTGCACGTTATCCCATAAATATGTACAATTAATCAGTCAATGTTAATCAGAGTTTTCCTAATGTTTAAGGAAATGCAAATGCTAACTTACCTGATTTGATCATCAAACAATGAATACGTGTATCAAATGATCACACTCCTTCAATATGTACGATTAAAATACTGAATTTTTTTTTTTTTATTTCAAAAATTACATAGAGGGACCAACGTTGTGGCATAGCAGGTTAAGCCACCACCTACAACGCTGGCATCACAAATCCAAGTGCTGGTTCGAGTCCCAGCTACTCGGCTTCCAATCCCACTCCCCGCTAAGGCTCCTGGGAAAGTAAAGGAAGATGGCCCCAGTTCTTGGGTCCTGGGCCCCCATGTGGGAGACCTGGCTGGACTTACAGGCTCCTGGCTTTGGCCTGACGGAGCCCCAGCTGTTGTGTCCATTTGGGGAGTAGATAGAAGATATCTCTCTCTCTCTCTCTCTCTCTCTCTCTCTCTCTCTCTCTCTCTCTCTCTCTCTCTCTCTCTCTCTGTCATTCTGCCTTTCAAATACAAAAAATAAGTCTGTTTTTTTTTTTAAAGATTACCTAGAACCATCTGGTTTGAAGCAGTGGTCATTCAGCGTTAGCTTCTCCATACGAGGTTAAAAGCGATCCCTGGAATGTCATATAATCGTATATAAAACGCAGACAGACAGACATGCACACAGAGGGTCCTGCGCAGGTGTGGCAGGATGTGGGCACCCACGGAGTCTGTGCGGGACGGATGACTCTCCATCCTGTCCGCAGATGTGCCTTGCCACCACCAGCGCTCGCGTGGCTTGTTGCTTTCCTCCTTGTTGGTTTGCACCTCAAAGTGACCCTTTCGCAGTGTCATCCACTAAAGCAAATAATCAGAAGTCTTGAGTCAGAACCCATTTTTGTCAAAGGCTTTTCTCCAAATGCAGTTGATAAATGCTCGAGCTGGCCTTCTGATGTGCCAGAGAGGGTGGCAGACAGAAGCCGGGGCAGGTATGTCTGCCGATTCCGTCAGCCCGATCAGTGCTTGCCCGGTGATTTTCAGAAGAGTCTCGCGGTAGTTTGGGGGAGTGGGCTTGGGGGTGGGGTTGGGGAAGGAGAGCCGGGTGGACAGAGCTTAAGGGTCAGAAAGGTCTGACTTCAGAGCCAGACACATTGGACACATTGGACACATTGCCTAGCCATGTGGCTTCGGGCAAAAAAATCCCATATCTTCTCAGAATCTGCAGAATGGGGAAGGTGGCCCCCGCCTTGCAGGGCTGGTCATGAAGTGGAGACGCAATGGGAGGAGCCGGCACAGCATTCGTGGAAAACGCAGGCTGTGAAAAGTCAGTGCGAGGATTGCAAAGTTGTTTGCACCAAGAGATCCTTCTCGCAACTGCGTTTCTCCAGAGCTTACCACGGCATTCCCTCTCATGTCGTAAAGCCCCCGGCCCAGGCCTGGTTCCGGAGCTGCTTGTTAAATGGAGGTCTTGGGATGCTTATGCTCTTTAGGCAATGGCAATTTTCAAGAAAGTCAACAGGCACATGGAATGATTCGCCCTGAAAATACTACTGAAGGTGATACTCTGAGTCACATAGGAACTGCATCTGGCTTTTAAGAAGAGATATCCAGCTGGTACCGCGGCTCTCTAGGCTAATCCTCCGCCTGCAGCGCCAGCACCCCGGGTTCTAGTCCCGGTTGGGGCACCAGATTCTGTCCTGGTTGCCCCTCTTCCAGTCTAGCTCTCTGCTGTGGCCCAGGAAGGCAGTGGAGGATGGCCCAAGTGCTTGGGCCCTGCACCCGCATGGGAGACCAGGAGGAAGCACCTGGCTCCTGGCTTTGGATGGGTGCAGCCCCCGCCATTTGGGGGGATGAACCAATGGAAGGAAGACCTTTCTAAAAAATAAATAAATAAATAAAAATAAGAAGGGAGATCCATCTGCAAATGGTGCACATACAGTAATTTTCTCACCCAGGACAGAAAATTTGGCAACGGGGGTTCCAGGGCTGGTCAAAGATTCTGCAGTATGATCCGTGTCCCACCCATGGCTGCTCAAAATCCAGCCATCATGTCCGAGTTCCAGGCAGGAAGTAGGAAAAAGAGAGGAAGAGCAAATGCCTCTTCCGGATCCATTAGGACAAAGCCTGCCTGGAAGCTGTAACCAGTGACTTCCCTTTCCATATTATTGTCCACCACCACCTGTACGGGAAGCTGAGAAACAGAATTTCCCTAAACTTGGCCTAGTCCTGTTACAAACAGAAGAGACAGGAATAGACAGGTAGGCAGTCTCTGCCCCTGTGTGATTCCCGGGCCTTGGAATGTACAGAGACAGCTTAGTGATGGAGCCCCAGGCCACGAGGGCACTTGAGGCTCTGTGGGACCACGCAGGGGCACAGGGGGCATGAGGCGGACCAGCCACGGTGCTCTCTCCACATGAGGTGGTCAGGGACCTAGACCTGTTGGAGCAAAGGCAGGAACTCTGCCCCACCCCCACCCCCAGCCTCGGCACCATCACACCCAACTCTCCGTTCCAGTCCAGGGAGCCGGAAGGGATGGCTTGGCTTCCTGTGGACATCTTGGCAACCGCCGGGAACCCTGCCCCTGTGACAGCCACCCTGTTTCCACCTCTGGCTGCACACCTGGTAGCCACGGGACGTCCAAAGATAAATGGCGGAGCCCTGCCGGCCCCCGAGGGACTCTGGGTCTAATAGCACATGACGAACAAGTAATTCAGTGCCCTGCTTCAGCAGAGCCATGGGACAGTGGCCAGAGGTCTCCCTAGGGGGCTGTGGTCCGCGTGCCGGAAGTCCAGCAAAGGGGATGCCTGCCTCCCTGGTGGAATCAGGGCAGGCCCCCAGGAGGAGGCAGGGCTTGGACTGTTTCAGTCTGGAGTCTGTCAGGCAGCAAAGGGAGGGACACACAGCCCGGGCAGAGGCGGAGGGCCTACAACTGGAGTGCATGAGCAGCTCACGTTCAGAAGTCAGAACACGTTCATCACGCAGGCTAAAAGGGCGATAGACCTAGTCACACTCCCTGTAAGCTTGCCCTGAGAGTCTGATCCTCTGTTGCCTCCAGGGGGACCCTGGGCAGGATACAGCAGGAGGAGAGGGCAGGGCTGGGGCGAGCTGGGGGGCCACACCTGGGGTCCAGGCTGCTGCTGGGTTTGGAGTTTTCCGGAGAAGCTAGGCGTGTAAAGGGCGCTTTACTTTTTCATGTGAAGTCTCAGTACGTGTGTACATCTGAATGCTGGCAATTGAGAGAGTAATTCAAACGCACCGTGAGTTCCAGCAAAGCATGCCCGCCCCTCGAGGCCATCAGCGGGCGACCTCCAGCCTGAGAGCAGGGAGGCTGATGGGAAGAGGACGGCCAGGCTTGTCCAGGGTCCCAGGAGGAACAGCGTGCCACGCACGTCTCTCAGCCTAGACCGGAGCCAGGTGGCAAATATTGCTGCCGAGCTGGCTCCCCGTGATGGGCCTTGTGCATTTCCACCCCTTTGTTCTCTGTAATTAAGGGCATGTGCATGAGAACATGATTTTTGTGACCGTAAAGACTTAGGTCCTGCAGCCATCCATGGCCCAGTACTGTCAGTGGAGGAGGCGAAACCGGAGCAGGTGCGCAGGCGGCGAGCAGGCAGCCAGAGCCGAGGGGGGCAGACCCTGAACCCCCACCCCCAGCCAACGCCCAGAGTAATTAAGGATGCAGGAGGAAATGGAGAGAATACCGCACGACCGCTAATAGATTTTTCCTTTTAAAATGTACCGAGAAACCCCAACAGCAACTTAATCGTAAATGATGATATTCTCTGCTCCTAGATTTATCCGCGTCTGTTCAGGGTTGCCAGCTAAATTTAACACCAAGCATTTTCTCCTGCTAGCAACTCTACTCTCTGCTTTCCACTTCGGTTTAAATTTTGCTTCATTATGAATTAATAATATTTATGCCATATGTGAAATTGAACCAAATGCCCTTCTTAGGAGCACTTTGCAAAAGACATATTCGCTGGCAAGATCCACACTCCCTTCCCAGCTCCCACGCAAGTGGCAGAAGTTGAACTTGGCTTTCA